ACCTGAAAGTTACACATTAAACGCCCCCTGTTGGCGAAAAGTTAAAAAGCGTTGCTTTAAGGCCCATTCATACCTCAAGTTTGGCCTGCATGTCCGTATTTCTGTCCGTACGTTCTATCCGTTGACTCCTTCATACCTCCGTCCGTTGAGGTGCGCAATAACCCGTATTTCCTCTAGGTGGCAGTGCTGGGCGCCAATGATTCGTCATTGATCAAAACATGGCGATGGTCCAAGACCTGATTCTGTTGCATTTTGTACTAAAAACTCAATAGCGCCCCCACCGTTTCCGGTAGTATTGCTCCGTATTGATCCGTTTCGTCCGTAAGCGTAAGCTCCCAATTTTCCTGTCAAAGTACGGACGAAATCGACGGTTAGAACGTATGAAACACTCCACACGTATCCGTATCCGTCTTTTGCGTGAGGTTTGAATGGACTTTTAAGCTTCCATCTCATTAGGGACAACAAATACATGTTGGCTTTAAATTATTATCAAGAGTATAAATCAGTCAGAAGTAACATATTTGGTCCTTCAGAAAGATTTGAAATTAACAAAAATCTATAAAAAAAAAAAAAAATCTAATTCTTAGATTTGTTTTCCCTGCTAAAGATCCTCTACCTTATTTTTGTTATATCTGCTGATGAGCTATTTGAGAAGAACATTTTGAGTTAATCTGTGCAACTGTGTGACCTTCAGCAATATTAAATAAATTCTGTTTATCATCTGTCAGTCTGTCTGTCCATCTATTGCAGTAGGGCTCTGGAGCATAGTTGTCAGAAGAAGGAAGTTGCCCAAAACTGGCATTTAATTTTTTCTCACAATGCTAAAAATTACTTTTAGAATGTAATTAACATCTTGTAGAGAGAATTAAAAAAAAAATACCAAAAGAAGCACAGTTGGTGCCAGTTGTCTAGCCCAGAGTGAGGACAATTTTTCCAACTTCACCATCAGATTGAGGACCAGTTGTTGCAAAGTGAGGACATTTTGCCAGTTCTCACATGTTATTTTGCTAATGGTTAGGTTTAGGACTAAGATGTCATTAGGTTGGGTTAAGGTTAGGTATGCATTGGTAATGGTTAGGTTTGGGGTTAGTTTTAGGGTTAGGGAATAGAAAGGGTTGAAAATGGCTGAAAATCAATGGAAGTCAATGGGAGTCAACACATGGTCCTCACTACGATGGCAGAATGAGTGCATGTATGTGTGTGTGTGTCCCTATGATGGAAATTTATCTCTGCTCAGCTGGAGAATATGAGAATGTTACAATTATAAAACAAGATTGACAGGAAGGATAGTGTTGCACTGGCAGATGACAGATACTGGCTGACTGCCTGGTAGTTATTCACAGCAACCACCCCCTCATCAGGCACACACACACACACACACACACACACACACACACACAACCACTTGCATTTCAGAAAGCCCCAACTAAGGGATCAAAGTGGTCTTAAGAAAAAGGGACAGGGGCTTAAGGGGTGTGCATATATGTGTTTATATATATATATATATATATATATATATATATATATATATATATATATATATATATATATATATATATATATATATATATATATATATATATATATATATATATATATATATATTATTTTTATTTTTTTGGTTGAACTTTATTGATCTTACATTGGAGAAATTCATCCATCCCCTTGGGGAGCAGTGGGCTGTCATTGTGCAGCACCCGGGGAGCAATCTGGGGTTAAGGGTCTTTCTCAGAGACCTAGAGTGGCAGACTCTGGGAGTAGGGCTCAAACTCAGAACCTCAGGATTCCAAGCTCTATATATACAGCTCTATATATAGAAATGGAGTGTCAAGGTCAAAGCAAGGGCATAGTGCAAACTCACCGACACAGGCAGGTGGTCCAAAGGAAATTACTTCTTCGTTCTATGCTTTAAAACGTAACTCAAAAGAGCTACGTAAACTTTTAGCTAATTTTAGTGTTATTATCAACATACAACATTAAAAAAACCTTTTAGCAGGCCAAGAGCTGCCCACATGGTGCTGAAAACATGAGCAGTTGTTAAAGACAGGACTTAAAGACTTTTACAGCGTGTGAAAAACAGAGCCAGAATGATCTTGTGTTTACTGATTTCACTGAGTCCCCTCAGTTTGGCTCAAAAAATGCTGTAGGCTTGTTTTTTTTATGTTAGCCTTCTGAAACTTGCTGATAATGTGAGACCATTAACAACCTATTGGTGGTCGGTACGTTACAGAGAACACCAGTCATGAGTTAATTTCATCTTAATGCAAATTTAATGAGCTGGGAACTGAATACAGTTTCTCACTGTTAGCTGAGAAGTGTAACAATAATTCAGTTTATGTCAGGATCCAGTTTGGTTCTTTGATTTAGTGCTAACTTCGATAGCAGCAGCTGATTGCACCAACTTTTTATTAGTGCATTTAGTACAAACACTTCCTGCTATTCATTTGGCCACTCAGAAATAGTTTTATGTGGGATAAACTTCCTAAAATTTTGCCATCAATCTAAAAAAGAGAACCAAATTTAAACCCTAAATACTTTACTGAGACAATTCAAAATCAAAGCCCATCTACAGCAACAATGGTCAATCTAAAATAGCATTACGGCATTAATTCATGAAGTCTAAGCAAGTTGGAAACAAAGGTTTGGGCAAAACAAGTTGAGGTCCTAAATGGAGCCCTTAAACCATTAACATGAAAGTTACCCGAAAACAGAGGTGTGTAGTGTACACAAAGATCTTACTCAAGTAAGAGTAAAAGAGTAAAAATAGAAAATGAAAAAATAAAAAAATTGATAAAATGGCTACATTGAGTAATTGTGAACTCGTTGTAGGTTTCCTCCTGTTAAAAGGGAGTTTTTCCTCTCCACTGTCAATACATGTATGGTTGGTGTGAGGAATTACTGTCGAGTCAATGAGTCGATGCAATCAGCTTGTTTTCCTTAAATCAAAAACTTTGAACTAATCTGACTCTATGATGTGGAGTAAACCTGTTGAGATATGTCTCCAAACGAAGGTCATGAGAGATTAGAATTAGTCCCACAGCTTCCTTCATGGCGTGAAGGGGAGGACTGTTGTTCTGAGGAGATCCATCTGGCCAGTGAAAGATATATTAACCTAACAGGGAACGGCTTTGATGAACTTAAGCTGTATTTCCTCCAAATGTTGAATTGTGAGAAAGTTCTTTATGCAGGGGGTGGGGTGGTTCCCCTGAGGGGAGTGTGTGTTGGATTTTTGTAGGGTATAAATGTATGTACTAAGGTTGCTTCAGTCAGAGCTATATCTCTTCCATCTGAAGACGTTAAATAAATTTAACCCTTTTTTCTTGCAAGAAATGCCTCTGTCTCAGCCTCCTAACTCCACAATGATCTGGTTGGATTGTTGCTGCAAAGAGCCTTGAGATACCTGTGCTGTGAATTAGTGTTTTGAAAATTAACTGAATTGAACTGAAGCATAACATCTGTCTGAATATTTAAAATTATTTAATCAGATAGACAGCTATGTGCAATTTTGGGTGTTTTAAAAATATAAAACAAACAAAGAAATAAATAGATATGTTTACGGACAAATTCAAGCAGAGGAAACCAGTTTAAAATGATCTTTACAGTAGTTACTGCACATCAGTTGGGAAAGAATGAAGAACTTCCAACAAAAATACCTACTGTTTGCTGTAGTTTAACTTTCTCGATGAGCTGAGAAAAGTTAAGAAATGTAACCAGTGTTTCAATACGCAATAACATTAGTTAAGTAAAAATAAAAAGTATAGTGAAGCGCAACAGCTTCTAAAATAATGTAGTTTTTTTTGTTGTTGTTGTCTTTAAAAAAAAAAGTTACTCAAGTAAATGTAAAATGATTAATCCTTTATAGGGCAAGTTAGTATTTTTGATCACTTGCATACCCCAGTAGTGATTCGATGAGGGTTTTTACTGTATTGATTTTAAATAAATTAGTTTTTTATTTAGAACAGTAGGTACTGGGTGCAGTTATAAATATGAGTCATGAATTAAGAATGAATTAGTCGCTAGCTCCAATATAATTTAAGTAAACAGATTAAGTAATAGCTTTTGTTGTTTTTATATAGCATTTTCCCTTCACCATTATGTAATGGAAGAAGATTAGGGCCACTGAAGCAATAAAAAAAAAGTTAACACATTTTTAAATATTATTTTAATATTAATATTTGATTATGAATAAATATTTAATATTCTCAGAATTCTGACTATTTTTCCGTGTATTCTGATTTTTTTGTACGAATTCTGACTATTTTCTACGAATGCTGACTTTTTTCTCAGAACTTTGACTTTAATCTCAGAATTGTGGATCTTAATGTAGATGTGCACCATGAAGGAAGGGACGTGGGAGCACTCTCCTTCACTGACAAAGATGTGAGTTGTTTGGGAGGAACAGTGACACATTGGTGGAAAATAATGGAATTAGGAGAATTTTTACATGCCTGAATGGTCCCTGTTGATGCTATTTTTTATGGGAAGAGCAGAAGGTGATTAAAACAAGAGAGCTAGGTTAGTCTTTAAAACAGACATGTCTACGTCTTGATGCCGTGTTTGTTAGCTGTCAGAATTCAGTCAGAATTCTGAGATCAAAGTCAGAATTCTGAGAAAAAACTCAGAATTGGGAGAAAAATGTCAAAATTCTGAGGAAAAAAGTCAGAATTCTGACTTTAATCTCAGAATTCTGACTTTTTTCCTCCCAGAATTGGGAGAAAAATGTCAAACTTCTGATATTAAACTCAGAATTGTGAGGAAAAAAGTCAGAATTCTGAGATTAAAGTCAGAATTCTGACTTTTTTTTTTCTCATATGCTGAAATAAAATGTAAAAATCAGTTAACTTTTAAAATGTTTCAGTGCTCCTGATCCTAATCCGTATTATGACGCACTGTGCGTCAGAGAGGAAAGTCTTTATACCTCCCGGAGCATAATGAACGCTAGAAGAAGGTTTTATTTTGAAGGTAACCTGACAGGAAGTTGTTTGCCGGATTTACCTGTCTGACGCGGTGTGGTGACGTCACGGATAAAAAAAAAAATAGGAAAAAAACAAAAAGGAAAAAACCTGCTCCTTTAGCCCGACGTCCTGTGCTGGAAAAAAACAACAACTGTAAGTTAAAGTAAATTTATTCTTTTCAACTTTCACTAATTTGATATATATCATCAAGAAATGATAAGGCAACGTATATGTTTCCTTTTTTTATTTTAGAGAAACCAAGACTCAATCTGAGCAAATGACAGATCGGCCTACAGCCTGTCCTCTCACCTGAAGGTAAACAGGGAGGAATCATAGAGGGAATAAGGAGCAAAATAGGATTTTATTTTTATCCCCATTGGGGTTTCATTTCATTTTCATGTGGTTCTTTTAACAATTGTTACTATTTTACAATTGCAGCAGTTAAGAAGAGAGGAAATGGATAATTTAGGGAGCTATAGACTGACCATGCTCCTCCTTTCTCTAACTTTGCACACATGGGAAATATGCAGCCATCTTCTCTTTTATACATGGAAAGGGTCTCTGAACACATGTTTTGTCAGACTGTCATGTTAAAACCAAACTCAGATGGTGCATTTGCTCTTTTTTTTCTACTAAAAGAGTTTCACTTCTCTGTTCTCAAAGGCTACTTCCTTAAATGTAACTCTGTGCAGCTGCATTACAGGAACCTTAGCTTTACTTTTCAGTAGAAGAACAAACTTTTTGGTTTAACTTAGTTTGAAGACTGGATATAAGATCCATCTGGCGATTGGCTGTTGGTTTCAGAATAAGTCCTTTTTTTTGTTTTTATTACAGAAAGTCTGAATGACTTTAAGGCTTTATTGCATCTATACTGAGGACAGCCAGCGACTCGGAGCTGTAAGTGAAGTAATATTCATATGGACAGAACTCTGAGGTTATAACTGCTCACTCTTCCAGATGGCCTTAGCACTAAAATAACAGAACATTGTTTAATCTGTTAGATTTACTCACAAATTTACTTAAGTAACTTAAAAAGTACATTTTAGAGTATTTATACTCTACTATAGTTATTCCTTCCTGTGAGAATTTTGCTACTTTTACTTGAGGTAAATTTCTGGTTTCTCTACCAACCATGAGTAAGTTGAACTATTTGGAGATCAATTGAAAATACTATAAACTGTAATTATTAATTATTGCCGCTACAGGTACTTTATTCTTTCCTGGATATAAATGCATTACCTACTGTAAAGATTGGTTTTACCAATTTATTAAAATAAAAAGATTAGAAAGGGCTTTTCTCTATCCAGATGTGTTATTTTGCAATCATGTTGGTTGTTTATTTTATTTTTTAATTGCAGAACTGGCACATAGTGTATCAGCTAATATTTGCATGTATTGATTGGTTTGTGCATTTAGCAGCTATGCCGTGACGTCAAGTGATGTGCCTGCATTTCTGCTCACTTCACTTATACTGATGTAAAAATGATTGGCATTGACATCTGCCTTATAAAACATGTATTGGTGGATCTTTATAACTGTCTTATTTATGGCTGCAACTAACGATTATTTTGTAAATTGATTAATCTGTCGATAATTTTTTTGATTATTCGATTAATGATTGGATAACAAAAGGTACTTTAAAGAAGATTTTTTGCTAAATTAAGCCAGGTGAAACCAAAAGTTTTCCACTGAAGGAGTTCTTTTGAGAGTATATTGATGAAACATTTTTTTTGTTATCTTAAATGCAAAATGTTTTATATTTTTTTTTTACAATCTTGGTATAAATACTGCTAAGTGGGTCACTCTGTCAGCTAAAGGCATGTTTTAGAGTCTCTACCTGCACGTTTATGATTAATCGATTACTAAATTACTTGACGATTATTTCAATAATCGATTAATCATAATTAAGGTGATTGTTTCAGCCCTTGTCTGATTACATAATTTTAAACATTAAATCAAATGTTATGAGCCAAAAGTTACTCAGTACTTGTAGCATTTTACTGTACGACATAGTATAAGGGCCAGGCTAGAGATTTTTTTATTTTTTTATTTTGAGAACAAAGTGGTAACATTACGAGAATAAAGTTGTGTTATTATTAGAATGAAATCATTATTCAGCAACCCATTTCAGAAAGAAAGCTTGGAGCTCCGACCAGCAGATGACGGTCGACCAGCTCCACCAATCAGCAACCTGAGTCCACTTTGACATGCTGCCCAATTTGATGCTGGTGCTAAAATATTTCCTTATTTGTCAAACCAGAGCCAAAGTATAACTTCACATGATGCTCCACATTGCTCATTTTAGGGAAGAAAGTGCTTCTTGTAAGAGTTGTCACGAAATATAACTTGTTTGTCATCATTTAAGGACTTTATTCTCGTAATGTTACAACTTTATTTTGAAATGGAAGAAAAAAAAAATCTCTAGCTTTGCCCTAATACTCCATCTTATTACTGAATACAGTTTTTACCCTTGAGGAATTTTTTGGACGACTACTTTCTACTCTCACTTTAGTAAAAAGACAGAAAAAAAAGTTAATTATAATAAAAAAAAGGCTATGTACTCCAAGCATTCGTCCTGATGGGGTTTTGATTGTCCTTTTTGAGCCTAAATAGAACCTCAGCACCGGGCGCAGTGAGCTGACATATGCAGTGGTGGCGCCATGTGCTGGCAGTACTATTGATCTACTGGCCATTGATGCTGCTGCTAACTAAGTACTGACTCTGCTATAACTCTTTGCAGAAAAACTAGAGCTTGGTGCACGTACACACTTTTGCACGCATACACAGCGATATTAATCAGGTCACATAATGTTGTTTTTGTAAATTTACATAGTAACGCTATATTTACTAACAAACAGAGAGAAAAAACAAAGCCTTAAAATAACAAATACATGTTTTATGATAAATTACAGCAGGAAACTGTCAAACATTGCATGCAACCACAGAGTGTCAAGATGTCAAATCACGTTACTATGTGCCTTTAAATTGTGTTTCATGGCAGATTAGAGTCTGCAGGCATTTTATATGATCTTACCTAAAGAAAATACTATAGTTTTCCTGCATGGGCCGACACGCATGTTCAGCAGTCGTACCATTAGATCACATGACGTACATTCCTCGCTGTTCCATTGAACTGCTATCCATTGTTAACGTTATGTTAAATTTGGCAACAAATGTTTCTTTTTCTGCTTTAAATTTTGTGTAATAATTGTGATCAAAGTTTAATTTTCATCATGTCTTTTTATTTTTATCCTTTGCCATGAATTGGCTTTTCGAAGGCCTTACAGGAAAGCTCACCAAATTTCGCCCATGCAAGTATTTAGAGCAGGCATCCCCAAAGTCGGTCCTCGAGGGCCACTGTCCTGCAGGTTTTAGAGGTTTCCTGCTCCAACGCAGCTGATTTTAATTGAAAGCTGATTGACAGGCTGTTGCTCAACTTCAGTCGTCATAATCAGCTGTGCTAAAGCAGAGAAACCTCCAAAACTTGCAGGACAGTAGCTACGTTTACATGAACACAACTAATCGGATTGAAGGCCTGATCAGATCAAAAATGTTTCATGTAAACATGTCAGACTGAAGATTCTAATCTGATTCGGTCCGATCGGATCTAAATTTAATTCCGAATGAGAGAGGTGGTTTTTGCCGATCGCCATTCTGATTGGCGTCCATGTAAACACCCATTCGGATCTTAAGAGTAAAATAATCTTCCCTGCGCATGTGTGCGACGTCAGCGTGACGTTTTTCCGCCTTGTCAACATCAGGAAACCACCGGTCGCTCTCGCTCTCGCTGTGAACAACATGGCGGGAGGAGTTTAGGAACGCCGACTTATACACTCAAGTTAATTTAACGCTGCAGGAATCAGGAATTTATCCTCTTCCTCTTTTCTCTCTCCACAGCCCACTCGCTCTCCCACGCCGGTTCAATCGCTCATTCTCTACATTTTCTCTCGTACATTTCGCTGCCAAGCGCTTTTTTCCTCCTCTCTCCGTTTTTCTTTCCGCTCGCTCCGAGCGCATCGTTTGTCAGGCCTCCCAAAAACCAGACGCAGACAGAACTGCCAAGTTTGGCAGGAAGTTCTGCGCATGCTTAAAAGATTTAATCTGATCCAACGCTTGGTACATGTATACACACGTCATGATCGGATCATTTCATTTAGTGTCCATGTAAACGGAGATTTTGAATTTCCGATCAACCAAGGTTTGGATCGGATCGGGGAAATTTTGCGCATGTAAACGTAGCTAGTGGCCCTCGAGGACCGACTTTGGGGATGCCTGATTTAGAGTTTCACAAAAGTCACATAAAACATGACTCTACGGCACCCTCTTTAATTTTTCAAAACACCTTCCCCATTAAGGTTACTTTGTTATAGATACATGAGGTTTTGGTACCCTTGTAGAACTTCCCAAGGCCTACCTGAAAGTCTGTCGACGTCTTTAAGCCAAGTTAAAGAATCAGACCTTCTTTAACATGTTTGCTGTGTCTCCTACATAGATCCATTTGACAAAAAAGACTCAGTTGAAGCTTCCTGTTTATTGTTTTACACGCTACAAACGGCTGTAACTGACCCTGTGATATTTACTATCAGCAGAACCCTGCGCGGGTGAGATGGAGGAAGCGTACAGTGAACTTTATCAGCAGTTTCTTCGTCTCAGGTCACTGTGCCTTAAACAGGCGGCTCTGCTTCATCAGCTAACTACAGCTCTTCACAACCAGCAAGGTGAGTTTATGAACTTCATGCTGAACAGTGTTTCAGTCCCTAAAAGTAACCCGTAAATTAATCTTTTTTTGTCTTTTAATCCAGGTATCTCTGTTACTGAAGCAGAAGTGAGCGACCTGATTTCCTTCCCTCTCCAGTGCTCCCCTGAGATCCCTGCATTTCTGCACGGAAAGCCTCAACCACAAGCCGCTCCCACACAGCCATGTGGAGCCGAGCGCTTCTCCAGAGACGCTGGCTGTTCCTCTGGTGTCCTCGCTGAGGGTATGTCCAAGCTCAGCGTGGACACGACTCGTCAGAGAAAGCAAGACGCAAAGATGGAGATGTTTAACCCGTTCACGTTCAATCTGGAGTCTTCGAAATACCTCGGAGCTTCTTCCAGCGAATCAAAGCCTTCAGAACAAAACAGTCGTGGTGAAAATGGAGCTCAGTTCAGAGCGATGGTGAGTGTCTACTGGTCAAAAATGTGAGCTTGTTCCTTTTTTTGTGATCTTTTTAACTTCTTTCCTCTATTGTTGTATTTTTTCGGCAGATGCCGGTGAAGGATGGAGGGCTACTGACCCTGTCCGGAGCAGGTGTGATGTCTGATGTGGCGCTGCACTCGCACGTCTGCGAGTTCTGTCAAGCCGTTTTTCCCGGCGACTCTACAACAAAAGGGGAATTTTTACGACACCTTTGCACCCACGTTACTTAGACCAAACGCACGCAGTGCTATGCAGTTTTTACCTCCAGCTTTTACTTTCATGTCACACATGTTTTAGATCATTAAACAAAATCTGACCTCAGAGAATGAATCCCTGTGCATAATCGGAAAAGTTGCTTTTATTTGATGATTTCATTTGATGATATGAAATATTTCAATGTGACAAAAACCAAAAAAATTTGTATTTGTTATATTTCTTTTTTGACATTTGTCTTGCACTGTGATCGTTCACCTCAGGTCACAAAAACTCAGGGAATCGTTCATTTGTTGCCCTGTTTTGCTACTAAATAATCAACTGATATTTTTAAATGGATGAAATAAGAGTAGTTTACTTTTTTGCATCTACACAGAAATGAAAACAAAAAACATTTGCAAAGCGTTACATGTATGTAAGAGTTTTTCAGTGTCTTACCCAAGGTTTGATTTCCCCTTCAACTTGTGGATGTAAATACATTTGAATGCAAAAAAATCAAAAGTTTTTTCTTAGTGTTTTGTCGGATTATCCCATCATTTAACCAATAACCCAGAATAGCCCGCATTTAAAACAAAGTTCAGCCAAAGGGTTCTTCATTCATCTCCTTCACTTCAAAGTAGCTCCTGGATGGACAGATTAATTTAAGATTTTAGTGTAACAAACAACGAAACATCTAGAACTGGTCCTAGAGTTAGAGAGGGGGAAAAAATGCATGTTAAGAGTATTACACTTCGTATTTTTGTTGAAGGTAAAAAGGTGATCACCAATCTGCTGCTCCAAGCGAGCATTCAAATGCAGCAGTTCTGATCAGTAAGGGAAACCATTACACTGCAAAAACGATCTAGAAAAAAGTAAAAATATCTTATATTAAATATATTTACTTTTAATCTGAGAAGGTAAATGCGATAATTGCCAATGAATTTAGTATTTTTTCTATTAAAAAAAGATGATTAGATAATATGCACTTGGAATAAGACAATTAAGTTTTTCTTATTTTAAATGTAAATGTCTTGTTCCATTGGCAAAGTCTCACACCTCTTAAATGCAGGAAAAAATGTACTTTTATATTTCAATATTTACCTCTGTAAAACATCTCTGAATGAATCCGTAAAGCTATAGAAATGTGACAAACATTAGCATTGGTGTGAAGCTTTCATCAACGTTTAAAGTGCAGAGTAGTAATCTAAACAAATTGTTTTCAGAGGATGAATTAAAATCTGCCGTCTCAAATGGTAAAGGCTGGACCTGAACACTGATTTCATCTGATCGTCAGTCGTAGGATCATTCTCCTTTCTTTTCAGTTTGAAACCTAAAGCTTTCTGTCAGATCCTGACCTAAAGGATCGTGGTCAAAACTGATGTTCAAGACAAGATGGGTCCAAATGACCTCAGTCATTTTATTGTTCAGGTGTAAAATTTCTGCAATGCGTGCCAGTAGTCGGTCTGTATATAAACCATTTCGTTTTTTAGAGGCTTAAAAATCGGAGCGTCGTCTCCTTAGAAAATATAGGCTGTCGGAGGGGAAACGTCTATATTTCAAAAATAATCTCTTCAACTTTTACGACTGCTGTAGCTTTCATGTATCTTAACAGTTTTTTAATAAATAAATTAGAATGTCTATATACAGTGGGGCAAAAAAGTATTTAGTCAGCCACCAATAGTGCAAGTTCTCCCACTTAAAAAGATGAGAGAGGCCAGTAATTTTCATCATAGATATACCTCAACTATGAGAGACAAAATGAGAAAAAAAAAATCCAGAAAATCACATTGTCTGATTTTTAAAGAATTTATTTGCAAAGTATGGTGGAAAATAAGTATTTGGTCAATAACAAAAGTTCATCTCAATACTTTGTTATATACCCTTTGTTGGCAATGACAGAGATCAAACGTTTTCTGTAAGTCTTCACAAGGTTTTCACACACTGTTGCTGGTATTTTGGCCCATTCCTCCATGCAGATCTCCTCTAGAGCAGTGATGTTCTGGGGCTGTCGCTGGGCAACACGGACTTTCAACTCCCTCCAAAGATTTTCTATGGGGTTGAGATCTGGAGACTGGCTAGGCCACTCCAGGACCTTGAAATGCTTCTTACAAAGCCACTCCTTCGTTACCCGGGCGGTGTGTTTGGGATCATTGTCATGCTGAAAGACCCAGCCACGTTTCATCTTCAATGCCCTTGCTGATGGAAGGAGGTTTTCACTCCAAATTTGACGATACATGGCCCCATTCATTCTTTCCTTCACACGGATCAGTCGTCCTGGTCCCTTAGCAGAAAAACAGCCCCAAAGCATGATGCTTCCACCCCCATGCTTCACTGTAGGTATGGTGTTCTTTGGATGCAACTCAGCATTCTCTCTCCTCCAAACACGACCAGTAGAGTTTTTACCAAAAAGTTCTATTTTGGTTTCATCTGACCATATGATATTCTCCCAGTCATCGTCTGGATCATCCAAATGCTCTCTAGCAAACTTGAGACGGGCCTTGACATGTACTGGCTTAAGCAGGGGGACACGTCTGGCACTTCAGGATTTGAGTCCCTGGCGGCATAGTGTGTTACTGATGGTAGCCTTTGTTACTTTGGTCCCAGCTCTCTGCAGGTCATTCACTAGGTCCCCCCGTGTGGTTCTGGGATTTTTACTCACCGTTCTTGTGATCATTTTGTCCCCACGGGGTGAGATCTTGCGTGGAGCCCCAGATCGAGGAAGATTATCAGTGGTCTTGTATGTTTTCCATTTTCTAATAATTGATCCCACAGTTGATTTCTTCACACCAAGCTGTTTACCTATTGCAGATTCAGACTTCCCAGCCTGGTGCAGGTCTATAATTTTGTTTCGGGTGTCCTTTGACAGCTCTCTAGTTTTGGCCATGGTGGAGTTTAGAGTGTGACTGTTTGAGGTTGTGGACAGGTGTCTTTTATACTGATAACGGGTTCAAACAGGTGCCATTAATGAAGGTAACGAGTGGAGGACAGAGGAGCCTCTTACAGAAGAAGTTACAGGTCTGTGAGAGCCAGAAATCTTGCTTGTTTGTAATTGACCAAATACTTATTTTCCACCATATTTTGCAAATAAATTCTTTAAAAATCAGACAATGTGATTTTCTGGATTTTTTTTTTTCTCATTTTGCCTCTCATAGTTGAGGTATATCTATGATGAAAATTACCGGCCTCTCTCATCTTTTTAAGTGGGAGAACTTGCACTATTGATGGCTGACTAAATACTTTTTGCCCCACTGTATATATATATATATATATATATATATATATATATATATATATATATATATATATATATATACATACACCTGCATAAGTTACTGAGGCCCCTACCTTCTGAAGAGTTCACACTGGAAAAAATCTAAATCTAGATTAGTCATTTTTTCTTAAGATAAGTGCATTTGTTCTTGGATTGAGGAGGTAAAAGAGAGATTTTGCAAATGGAACAACACAATTTACACTAAAATAAAAATAAAAAACACAATTGCATTGTCTTATTTCAAGTGCCTATGATCTAAATATATCATTTTAAGAGTAAAAATACTCATTCCACTGGCAAACTATCTCATTTACCTACTGAAATTAATGGTAAATACACTTAATTTAAGAAATGTTTACTTATTTCAAGATCGTTTTTCCAGTGCATTCAGTATTTTGCAGGTTTATACAGTTTAGCACAATTTCTTGCTCAGTTTTTTGAATCCCTAAATTGTTAAAAAGATCTGTAAGTTCAAAAAGAACATTCATTCTCTGCTGACGTAAACTGTCCTTGTGCTGCTTGTCATCAGATCCACTTTCTGCTGCTCCACACTGTTGCAGAGGAAAGAACAGGAGCTAAAGAAAGAAACAAAGATTAAACTCCCTAATTAGCAGCACTGACAGCTGAATGATGGCAGCTTTTTTTTTTTTTTTTTTTTTTTGCTGTTGCCAGACTGATTTTATCACAAGATGTTAAAATGAAGTCTGGTTGATATTTAAGAATAACATTTATTCATTGCTTACAAAATCATTCAGTTAAATGAGAATTTAAAAAGTGTAACGAAATTACTTTCGTTACATGACTCCATATGTAATAGAGTGACTTTAGGACCAGTTTGATATAACACAATTTCATACAATATATATAATTAGGGGGTCCCTGCCCCATCTCGCAATCAGTTTGGGGCTCCTTGGCTTTGAAAACGTTGAAGACCCCTGATCTATGTGATTTCTTAACTCTACATGCCTGGCAGCAATTACATGGGGGTAAGGCTTATAAAAGTAGACCAGAAGTCTGTTTACTTACTGTTTCATTTGAAGCTATTTTAAGATCTGTGTAAAAAGAGAGCTCATGTACATGAAAAATGAAATCTAAGGCTTGAAATTCTCTCTACAGAAAAAGCCGTTTCAGGATATTAAACAGGAGTCCGTGGGGAAATATGAATTTCCTCGCAAGTTGTTTTAGAAGAGCGAAGGTGTTTCTGTGTGGATGAGCAATCCTGGCATCCCTACAGGGCCTGTGGTGCTTTGACTTTCTGAACGCCCTGAACTCATTTCGTGGGTACTTACTATTACTCACACAGAAAAAAGCTGACAGTAGTTTAAAAAATCACACAGCAGAATTCAAAGGTTTGCTGTCAAGCCGTTTTGTTGTCCAGTGTCTGCGGATGACATGACCAGCACTACTGAGTCACAGCAGCAACCGACAAGACCATGGGAGAAGTGTTGCTGGATGTGTGACTCAGCTTCTGCTAAGTCTTCCACACATTAGAGTCGCTCTTTGTCAGGAGAATTAAAACACCGATCAAAATCATTAAAGTAACATTTATTATGATATATTAAAATAAATTATTTGTCCTGCAGCATACACAAAGGGATACATAAGCTAGAAAAACAGACTGGTGTAACTGATGCACAGTACGCTACCTCACCGATGGTCTGCAACATTGAAAAGTGATAATGAACATAAATAGGGGAATTAATTTTGAGGGAGTTGCTTTTATACAACGGCCTCTGAAAACAGAGATAGAATGAAGCAGAGTGATGAAAGTGGTCCCTATGTCTTCCATCAGCCTAACCCTGTAGCAGCATAACTACAGAGGTAATGCAGGATAACCTGAACCTCTGTGTTTTATAAATCTAAGTTGTTAGATATCCTGCCGGCCAAACTGATGATTTGGGGAAAGAAGGGATGTTCAGCAGAACCTTCTGAGCTGATTGGTCAGAGCCACACCTAGTGGCTCCCTATCAAAGTTTGTTGTAGCCAATTAAGGTAAAAAAGGAAAACGACAGATGCCATGAGAAACCACTGTTTTTTTTCCTTTTTTTTAAATCAACGCTTGTAATGTCCTGTTCCTCTTTATAAGATGAAACTGTAGATTCTGAACAAACAGATGTGACATCAGCATCTAAACATACTTACTCCTGCTCTGACCTTTTTGGGTCAGTATCAAACAGTAAGAGAAGGAGCGCTACAAGATGGATCAAGTGTGTTTGTGAATGCACAAATACGAGAATTTAGCATAGCTGCACAAAAGAACAACCCCACAGAGAACATGAGTGTCTTAAAACAGGAACAAAAACAGATAGGGATTGACTTAATTTTTCAAAGATCACTGACATATCTCACAAGCGGCTGTGATAATACTCCATTTCTGAACAATGTTGTGAAAATTTAAAAAAAGAACTTTTTAATGTAGTTTTCAACGCAGTGTTTCAACAACTGTACAGTTTTGTCTTTAGTGGACGACATTAAACCGTAAATAGGACAAAAGCCATTAACAGAGCTCTAGGCGTTGTTTAACAGAAATTATGACTGACTCACTAAAGCTTTTCAAAATCCTTTTAACACCATAACGCCTCGCAAAAGTATTCACTCCCATTAAACACTTTCACATTCAAATACTATAAAACTACAAAAAACAAATTAAAAAACTGCAGTGCATTTAATATGATAGACCAACACCATGTAGAGTGCCAGAGTCTAAGGTCCTCTGGGGGAAGGGCTCAGTCTCCTTTTTTCACTATGGAGTGAATTTTGTTCCATTATTGTTGCAAGAAACTACAAAGTAAATTTAGTATTTTTTTATATTTTCTTTTCTTCTTTACAAGTTTAACGTTTTAGTTTTTCAAATCAAGATGTATAAATTGTATTTTTTACGAATTGCATTTTACAAATCTCATTCTCTTCACTTCAATTCGATTACAAACAGCTGCACACATTGACCAATAAAAATGTTATTGCTAACATCCATGCTGATCAACAGAAATGTGCCTTTCTCCTCCCTTTAAAGGAAAGCCTGCCTACAGAAGTGAAGAGAATGTGATCTGTGCAATTTTAAGAGTCGCATTTTTTAAATTTTGTTTGAAAATTTGAATAAATGTTGAAAACTTTAATTTGGATTAACAAGTTTTTACAGTTTCATTTCTGGATGGCAATTTTTTCAGTTGTCCTCTTTCAAAACATGTTCTTTGCTTGCAACAAAATTCAGTTTTCCTGTGTGATCACAGGATATCATGGACCTTTCTTAGGACATCCTTTCTGATCATATATACCTTCTGTTGGTATGACACAAAAATAAAACTTAAATAAATGATAAAAAAAAAGATAATCGCAATTATAACATAACAAACTGCTACATGTTTCACAAGTATGAGTATTTTTGCAAGGTATCTGTGTCTTCTGGGTAAATTTGACTTGAACAATGCCGACCTGCGTTCTAAACAAAGCATCCAGAGGTTTCCTGAGGTGGGGGAGCTCTCGACAATATGCGGTAACCTGCAAAAGAAAGGTCGCTGGTAAACGCACATCTCCTCTGCAGTGCTGCTCCAAGTAGAGTCTGTTTCCCAAAGTTGCAGTGCCCCCTGCTGTGTGAGCCATGGTTCATCTGTAGCAGGTGGATCCTCCACCACACAGCGCTACTCACAGTAACATGTAGGTTTTTCCCTGACAGAGGACACTTTTAACAGAGGCAGAACTAAAGCACAACTCTGTTTGGATCTTCATTTACAGCTGATGTGTGTACAGGTGGTGAGGAGTCTCAGATTTACAGTTTGATCCTTGAGTCCTCTCTCTGAGCACTGTTCCCCTGATGGGCCGCAGGTTTCACTTTCCTCTGTGGTTGGAGATGATGGTTGGCTCTTTGGTGACACAAGGGCTACTGCTCCTGCACGCTGCTATTGAGATCTGCCGCTCCACCTTAATGTCAGGGTCTGTGGAGAGACGTGGGTTAGAATATTAGACTAAAAGCAAGCGTTAACTCAAACAGGAAATGACAAGCGTGTAATCGACCACTATAGAGAAATGTTTTTTTAAAGGCCATCTGCAACACCTAAAAGTCTGATCTGCTGCTACTGTAACATTGAAATTACTGGGCTTTATCCGAGCGGGGGCAGCGAAGCAGAGCATAAAGACCATTTAAAGGCGCATAAAACTGGTGTTTAAGGGCTTTGAATGCTAGTTTGGGGGAATTCACCAGGAAACTCTCCCACATGAGCTGAAATCGTCATGGTTTACATGACCGATGCAGGCTGGTAAATAACAAAATGTCCCCAGTCTAGTTGAGACAAGAAGTGATCACAGGGTGAAAAAAGAACAGTGGATACATTAAGCTAAACTTTGTATTTATTGTATAATTCTAGGTATAGTGGATGAGTTCAAAGAAATGTCTTTTATTTATTTTTTGCTCATTTTATTATTTGAAGCAAAAAGAAAAGCTACCTATTACATGAGTTTCTTCAACTTGTATTTTTTTTTGCATCAAAACAGCATTTTAAAAAAGCATCTATAACTTTCCTGCACTCTCTAGACTAATACTAAAACCTGTGTTCTGGTCAGAGGTTTTAATCAGTGGTTCCTGGTTATAATGCCTGGTAAAACCTGTAACATCCCTGTAAATGCAGCCCCTATCAGGGTTTTATCAGTTTGAGATGAAATATTGTGATGTGTACAAGCACTGTACGACTTCTGATCACAGTTTTTGCCTTCACATTCTCTATTACTTTTAAACATTAACCCTATATTTAAACATTACAGCCTGAATTGACTGAAAATTATATAAAAATAGACATATTTCTCAAATCCTAAATTAAATAGACACTCTTTTTTAAATTTGCAGAAACAGATTTAAATTTAGGTGTGATGCAAATTAGTGACATTAGGCATTACCAGTCATAATTGTAGGTAAATATTCTACTCCCAGGTATGCAGATTATTTTATTGTTGTGGCTATTGCTAAACAGAGATTTGAAAAGAAATGTCAGAAATTTCTGTAAGCTCTTTTCTGGGTCATCTCAACAATGTCTTGTTCACCCTCCCACCTCTAGATGGTGCCAAAATGCAAAAACATGACAATAGTGGATATCACACTACGATCCGTACCGTTTGCATGATCTGTATTATCAGCTTATTTTTCGCTTGTCGCATTCTTGTTGCCATAGAGTTTTATGAAGAAAAGACTATTTTTTTCTCTCTCTCTTTTTTTTTTTAAAGCACTGAACTACATTATGTGAAAGGTTAATAATGACTTTCATGATAGAATTAATGCGTGGACATGTTTTCTGTTACATCACTCCTGTGTACTCAATTTGTCCATGAAATGCTTTACTAACCAAGTAAACACAGCTAATTCTTTTCAGCTTTGGATTTTTTAAATAATTGTAGTTATTCTGAGATTTATGTTTGCATCTTATAGCTCTTTTATATAATATTTATATAGTGCATGCTCTAAATAAAGGCATAGCTAAAATACAGCTAAACACAGTGTTATCATATTTTGCCGGACTGCTTTGAGCATGTCCCATAACGCCAGACAAGCAAACTAACAGAGAATATAAAAAACATCCAATTCTCTCAGAAAAGTGTTTAATAATTTTTACAAATTGTAGTTTAGTATATTTGATGGATAGAGATAAGTACTTTCAGTACCATAATTATATTATTTATAGTGACCTGGGTGAATATGTGGCTATGGATACACAAATATACTCATGGTATGGATCATGCTTCCAGTACAGATCAGGTAGTGACATTGGAGGCCTCCCTCATAAAGCTTGTCTGATGGCACAAAGAACTTAACAGCTCTAAAGAATTGAAACCACAGTTATATGGTTGGAAAGTCATTTTAACATTTAATAGTGGGACTATTACTAATAGCTGCAGTTTTTGTCGACCCAAAACAGTTTTGAATAGTCAAAAGTAAGAGATATTTAGAATAAAAACATTCACATGGGTCACAATGACATTATGTCTTGTCAAAATAGCATTTTAAGTATCTTACTGATTACATACCGGTATCAGTTGGTTTGCCATACTCCATTTCTCTTACATATGATAACTTTTCCTATTTTGGGTAATCAAATGTCTAGTCTTAATTGTTTCTCTACCTTGTAGCTTGAAAGCATGAAAGAACAGTTGAAAAGCGATGCTTAAAGAAATGTTCTTTTGGACAATTGACTCGAATTTTAGGTTTAGGTATGAGTACTGTGAAATAGATTGAGTACATAGCAGACTGGTGAGGAGAATCCAAAACAAAAAACAAAATGGGTATCAGAAGATGGTGTAACAACAGCTCTTTTAGCACCCAAAAAAAGGACAAGTGATCAGGACACATAGCATATTTTATTTTGAAAGGTAAGAGCACTAGGGCTGTGGCTTCAGTTCACCAGACTAGCGCCTTGAGGCAATTGCTACGACGTGGGAGGTCTTCCTGTCTCCAGAAGCAGCATAGAGTGATTACCTAGTTGTATTCTCAAATGGATTCTAATATTTAGATCAGTGGTTAGCACACTTAGCAGTCGCCAAATGTTAATTAGAATCTTGTACATTAGGATAAAATTTTTGGAAACCTACAAAAAGGCAGAGACTGGAAATTATTAAAGATAGATACTGGGTTTAACTTCATTAAACCTTCCTGTGTACAAATTAAACTCTTGCTCTCTCCAAGCCTAAACATGAAGATACGTAAACTTTTTTTGATTTAGCAACCGTTAGAAATGGTGCTTTCACTGAATACAAAAAGATATGACTTATTCCTGGACGGGGCCGCCTTTTAGAGTTGCGTTTTGTATCTCTGCTTCTGTCTCCTTGAACCCCAGTCGGCCTTGGCAGATGGCCGCTCACACTGAGCCTGGTTCTGCTGGAGGTTTCTTCCTATTAAAAGGGAGTTTTTCCTCTCCACTGTCGCTACAAGCATGCTTAGTGTGAGGGATTGCCTTCGAGTCAATGAGTCAATGCAATCAACTGGTTTTCCTTAGATTTAAAACTTTATATCAATCTGACTGTATGATCTGGTGAACTGTAAAGTGCCTTAGAATGACATGTTGTGAATTGGCGCTATAGAAATAAACAGAATTGAATTGACTGTTTATTTCTCCTACTCTCTGGTTGCAGATCAGGGTCTATCAAGCTAAAATAAACCAATAATTTCTGCCCCAGATGATCTCCATTTTCATAATTTTTGTTGTAATATAACAACAAGAAAGAATATGTCATTTTTTTACCTCTTTTAACACATTTATACTTTTAAGTTTATTTCAATATTGTATAGTTGGTACACTTATAATAGCACAACTTATGAAAAAAATCAACAGACAAAAACAACCCAGCAAAGATAGTATTATCAGTTGATACTCTGTGACATTCTGTGACAGTGGAAAATAGGTTACAGCTGAACGGTGACGTTAAGAGGAAGTGGGAGAAAGTTGAGATTAATGAGCGCCGCGCATGAGGGGAAACTTGAATGAATGAGAGATAAGCAAACAGAGCCTCTACACAATAAGGCAGATTGATGCTAGAGATGAAACATATGTCATGTTTTATTATTTCCGCAGTCCTTTTTGTATATGGAGAGGATGTATGAAAAAAAAAAAAAACTCCATGCCATTTCCCTGCCCACAGGTTTTATTTTTGTACGCTGTCGCTTGGTGAGTCAATGCAACGCCCCTCCAATTACCTCCCACTCCATCGCCCCCACGCCCCATCCATCCCGCCCTGCAACCCACGCGCCTAACACACTCTGACGTCAGTCACTGCTAAAGCAGGGAGGGGGGTCCGGCTCTGTCGCCCACAGAGTACTTCCTATCCCCCCTCCCTCCCTCCCTCCCTCCTTCCCCGCCTCCTCATGTCTTTGCTGGCTTCCTTCTCCTTTGCTTAATCTCTTCAGCTGACGATCACAGCCCAGAACAACTAACTCTCCCCAAACCACTTACTTTTTGCCCGTGATGCATCACAAAACTAACAAGGTATCAAAGAACTGCAACGTTCTCTCCCCCTTTTTTTCTGTCTCCCTCCCTCCTTTGCCCTCCTTCTCACACTACCCCTCTCCACCGCCTTCTGTTTCCCCTTTCTAACTTCTCTCCTTTCTAATCTGCACTCTGACGGAGTTCAGCTGCAAGCAGAAGGAGGCGTCGCCTCAGAGAGATTGTGACTCACAGGGGTTCAAACTGTAGGGCTACGAAGTACTGATTGTTACTGGAGGTTAGGGAGTCACTATCACGCTTTTCAGCTCCAGCATCGACTTATTGCCATTTGAAAAGGATAGTTCAAAATTTTTAAAGGAAGGTTTCCTCATGAAGTCATGAGCAATCATTTTCTTACCTGCAGTAGATAACATCCTCATTTGCATTAAATTCACATTAGTTGAACCTGCAGAGGAAGACCAACAGCTCATCTAAGAGGTTCCAAGACCAAAGCAGAACGTGATTAATGGGTAACTTCCATGAATTTTAAAAGCTGCCATGCTCATATTTACAGAAAATGTTATTTTTAGAAAGGATTTGAAGATATGGGATGCTGTAGGGATTATGGTTGGTCTGTGTTTAACACACTGAAAGCTAATCATATAAAGCAGTTCCAAACAGAGGAGAAAAACATTATAATGGTGCTTTCATTTTGTATTAAGAGTCAGAGTCAAACCAGAGGATTTTGCTAATTCTTTTAGTGCTAACCACTGTTAGCATTACAAACTCATTTTAGTTCTGTGCTTTAACATTTAAGGTTTATTTTCACAAAGAGATGTCATCAGAACTATGTACGTATAGCACTGGGAGATTAATCTATTCAATTGATTAATCTTTTTTCTAATTTAGTAATAAAAGTTAAAGTTTTGGAAATTTTGGTTCCATCCATGCACTCTTTGCGCTTCCAAAGCTCGGAGAAGGGGTGTAAGAACAAAATAGATTCTACTAAATACGTAATGAGACCTGTAAGCATTTAATCAAAATATGTCCAAATGAATCTTAAATGTAAAAAATATTTATAGGCAAACACCCATGTCATTGTTTTACTTTTTTTGTAACACTTAAACCTCCAGCCACTAGTTGGCAGCGCGCAATTAAAAAACTTTAAATATATTAAATATATCACCTTTGTTAATACATCAGGATCTATTGGATAAATCGTATCGTGACACATGTATCATGGTATATATGGTATTCCCGAATTATTGTCAATTTAGGGAGCGGCATGCACAGTGCGATATTTTCAATCATTGTACTCAGCTGCAGCTCAAACTATACAATGTAACCGCAGGGTTTAAAGGTTCACATCTCACGATTTTTGGTCTTAGACTGTGCAGCCCGATGCTCTGATGCGATCTACCTGCTCAAACTGTACATCTAAAAGCCACACGTCGAACTCAGCGCTGAGAGATGGCACCGGTCGGACTTGTCCGCCTGGAAGAAGAAGAAGAAGAACTCCCTTTTTTGCACATGCGCCAAGCATGAGGTCCTGGAAAATCAGCACGTAGCTCTGCTTCAACAGCAGGATTCGTCCATGAACACCTCATGATGGCCAAACATGTTTGATTTTTTTCTCGACCTTACGATTCCTGATCGGGATGTGATTGTGAGAGGCTAACCGTCCCTTGTTACCCCCTGTATAAAGATAGTTTATATCAACACATTTTACTGAGTTTTATATCCACAGCTGTCACACTGAGGTGAGTTAAAAACTCTGACTTATGTGCATGTGTTAGTCTTGTTTCCAACAAAATATTTCAAACGATCTTGTTTGAGTAAAGAAAAAACAATCCACATATATACAAACATGAGGAGGAATATGGGATTTAATTGACACTTTTTGTTTTAATGTGCTCCTAGTTTAAATAGGGCTTGCATATCAGGATAAAAGATGTGGATTTCAAAGGCTTATTTATAGAGTACATTACTTACTGCCACAATGGCCCAATCTAATTTTATCTTGCATACCATCAACACTGAGAAGAAACTTTCCCCTCTGTTTTACAGCCCATTAGATGTAAATTTATTAGAAAATATTAAAGGCCAATGGTTTTGTTTTCCTTTTCAATCAAGATTTGTTAAAATGGCACAGCGTAGCATAAAATCAAGATTAACTGTATTATATGTTGGTTTAGGGTTGCAAACTCCGTGAAATTACATGAATTTCACAGCAAATTTTAAAAGGTCCTACAAACTCAAAAATTAGAATAGCAAACACACACAAGAACAATACACAAACACCACAAAGAAACACCACAAAGGGAAAGATGCTGCAAATAGCAATAAGACTGCAAGTTTAAAAAAAACTGCAATTAGTGAAAATAAAAGAGTGTGAAAGTTTGAACATAGTGCAAAAACAAAACCAGCTGCAAATACATAAAAGATGCTAACACAAACACAAAATCCACATGCAAAAGAAAAATAATACAAGTTAAGAAAAGCTCCAAACTATTGCTGCTTGATAGAAGTCCCTCAGACCACTAGGGGGAGGCTACCGTTAATGTGTGAGCAGACCTTTAGTAAAAGCATGAACAAGATCCTAATGGGGATAAAGACTGTGTCGGATCGTCCGCCCTAACCCCTAATCCCTCAATCACTTTATAGAGCAGGGACTATATTAGTGGACTTTATAGTGAACTCAGTTAACTGTCCGTTTGGACATATTATTACTACTTTTCGCTCCCCGTTGGTCACGTAACTGTCTCCCTGCACTGTGCTTCCACCATCTTTGTTATTTGTTGGCCGCTGTTACTATTAATCCTATAGGAGAACGTAGCATTAGGCATAGCGGAATATATTTGTTCTTCTATTGACCATGGATGATCATCACTTTTCAAAGTGCATTGTGGGAAATTTCGAGTCCCCCTCTATTTCATACACTACACGTCGCACTATATAGTGCCCTATATGGTTATTAGGGTGGACATTGCGGACACAGCCTCAGTTAAATGAGCATTTGGACAGATGATCACTTCTTTCTGCTCCCTGTTGGTTACGTGACTCTGGCTCCCTGCACGGTGCCTGCGCTATCTTTGGTCCTTCTCGCCCTCCAAACAAATCCCATGATGCTTTGTGAGAAGAGCTCTTGCAAAGTATTCTGGGATATATCTGCTCATCTAGTGACCACGGACAATCACTACTTTTCAAGGTTCATTGTGGGAAATTATGTGTCCACTACTTTTTCATTCACTAGACATTCGGACACTCATATAAAATGGAGTATCCCCTATATAGTGATCCATACGAGTTAGGGCAGATTTTAGGAAACGGGCAAAGTTATAAAAAGAGATTCAAAGGAAAACTTATCATTGCTTTCTTTCCTCTAGACTTTGTCTAGATTGTATTCTATTTATGTTATTTCTAAGGGATTAATGTCAGCTTTTTGCCTCCATATGAGTAAAGGATCGTCTCCCTCTAGTGGTCTGGAGCACTTTCATTATGTGGTGCAAGTTTGCAAAATTTTTTAGACCAGAAGTATGTTTTTGTTGGAAGATAACTGCCAATACTTTGCTTTATAATTAATGATCAGCGGCTTCTTTGTAAATGATAACCGAATAAGGGCTGCTTAAGTGTTCGGAAAAATCAATTAATAGCATAAACTACTGTGACCTTTTTTTAAAATCTTATTTTAATAAAAGGAAAAAAAATATATAAAGACCTCTTAACCCACCAGGAACCGATTTAATGCGTAATTAAAAAAAAGATTTCTGAAGTTGAGAGGACCGGAGCAACCAGCAGAGCTCCGAGGCTAACGGCAGCCAGGGCTAACGTTAGCCCGGCTGCAGCAGCCCTCTCTCGGCATAGTCGTGTGTGAAGAACTGCTGGCTCTGATGGCGATATTTTTTGTTTTATTTGGCAAAATGTTCATTTGATTTGTGTTTATCTGACTGTGTTCATTATTATTCCCCCACTAAATGAAAAAAGGATTCATTTATTATTATCTAGACAGTATTGATAACAGGAAGTGAAATGCAGCTCTAGACGAGCCGGGAATGTGGTGTCACGAGTACGCTTCTTTTCCAATTGACCCAGATCTATGCTGCGTGCTCGCGCTCTCACCAAGTCCAGACTCTCCTGTGTTCTTGCCAAGACCGGACTTCACGAGGACACGAGTACGGACTCGCGATCTCGTGAATTGAGAAACGGCTACAGACGTCCATCCCCGTGAACACTGGCACAGAACTCGATGGGAAAGGAAATTATTCTTATTTCTTATTTCAACCGTTGTGTATATAATTTGCTACATATGAATCAAGATGCTATGACCGAAAAAAATTTGATTGACTGTTCAGGCTAACGTATGACTTACAGGCCTGCAGAAGATAACAACAAAAAAAACACAGATTTTAAGACAGGATTTTTTTTCAAAATAGAAATCTTCTAAATTTTGGGACAATATCTTCTTATTAAGAGTACATTTATATACATGTTTAAACCAGAATGATTTGACATTTAAATATGATTTCCTTACGACTTTAAGTATTTCTCACCTTCAAATTAGTAGAATTTTTTGTGAATCACATCCATCTATGTGATGCATGAATATAGGAAAACCTGAAGGCTTATTGTAGTTAGCAGGAACCCAACATTCCCAAAGTTTTTCTTTTGCCTGCTTTGGAATCGTTGCAAGTTTTTTATTTGAATCTATATTGAAGCACACAGTGCAGGTATGGGAGGCTCTGAAAAGTCACCTGCTGTGTGAGTTCCCTCTGGTCCCAGGCTGACATTCCCCGCCTGATCATGTGACCACATCCGAGCCAATCGCAGGCCTTCGTTCATTAGCGTCTGCTGTATTAGGTGGCGGCTCCAGCTGGCAGGGTTCGAGGCGTCACCGTGGGGACGGGGTGATGGAGACTGGTTGCACTGGGAGCTGGAGTCTAAACAGAGCAAACAGAGCTGAGTTCACTCTGTTTCTTTTAAGAAATATATATATTTTATTTCTAATAATATATAAATGTGACGCGCTACCATGTGATACGCAATCAACTCCTTCTGCAGACAAGCTGTCTTCATCTGCTCTCTGAGTCGCTCCTTCAGATCCCTCCACTCCGAGAAGCGATGACTCAGACACAATGACCTTAAACACAAAATACAAGGCTGCTCATGAAACACTTCAAACCACCAGAACAAATGAGCTCTAATAATAAGTGGAAACGGCAATAAAGATCCACCTCATGTCGCGCTCTCTTCAGAGACAAACCGCTGCTATCATCTGTATTCGACCTGCAGCAGAAACAGAGAACAAAGCTGAGGTTGCATCTTTGTTTGGAATTTTTGAAGAAAGGCCACGTGGAAGAAAAACCTTAACAGAACATCCCACTAGGACCTCAAAATGACAATATAAGACAATATATCAACAGACTGGGGATTTATTGTGGCGTTATGAACCCTTAAATCGGCCAACCAACAAATAATTACATTTTTAAATATTTCATTGATAATCGTGATTTCATAAAACAAATTAAAAGAAGGATGATGTTCTAGTGCAGGGATCTTCAACGTTTTCCAGGCCAATGACCCCCAAACCGATGGCGAGATAGAGCGGGGACACCCTAATTATATATATATTGTATGAAATTGTGTTATATCAAACTGGCCCTATTGTCGCTCTATTACAGATGGAGTCATGTAATGAAAGTAATGTCTCCCTGGGATTATTAAAGTATTTCTGATTCCTGGTAGATGGGACAGGTGTTGTGAATGAAACGGTGTCCAGCTTAAAGGAGCTCCTGTGTGTCGCTGAATGTGTGCATTGATGACTGAACGACATCTTCTGCCTCCATTTATCTCTTTACTACACTGTGTTGAATTCATGTGTATTAAAAGACATTTCAATTAGTGAAAAAATTGCAGGGGGGAATATAAAAAAAGGCTAATCAACAAAAACTTTCGCGACCCCCATGCAGTACCTCTGTTGACCCCCTAGGGGTCGCGGACTCCCTATTGAAGACCTCTGTTCTAGTGGAAAATATTTCCCTTTCATATGAATTTTGAATAGATATATAATTAGATATAATATTTTTTTAACTACCTCTCAAAAATGAGCACGAACAATATCTTTTTAGCTTCACATTTTTTTGTTTAGTTTGGAGCAGGGCCAGCCAGAGGCATAAGCAAACTAAGTGGCTGCTTGGGGCCCCCAAGCAGGGAGGAGCCAAAAACAATTGACCAGAGCTATTGACCAAACTTTGAAGACTGCCTTTGAGCTTCTCACATACATAGATCAATGGCCCAGGAAAAACTAAAGCGCTGGTTATACTCTAGCAGCAGTGTGCTGCAGTGAGATTGTTGCAGATATTTTTGATTTATGCCCAATATTGAAGCGTGGTCTGTGCTATGTTATTCAGCTTCTTTCTGAAATCAGACATTTTTTTTTTTTAGATATAGGCACAAAAAATACCAAGTTCTTCTCCATCTGTAAAGGTTAAGTTCTGGAAGCGTTAAAGTTGAACATATGACTAAAAAGGTCTGCTGAGGTTGAAATGTGGTTTAGGTGTTTGGGGTTGATCAAATGTGCTAACCAAGTCTAGCTTTCAACATCAGAGACCTACTTCTATGTATTTATGGATGCTGCATAAAGATAATGACTCATAAAGTGTCGGAAGCTACAACAAAGGTGTCACCGGGTGTCGATTCCTTGCATGGTAGGCATTGATAGATGTGAAGAGGAGCGTCGGTCAGAGGCTGCACGGCGTGCACTGATCTCACCTTGCGTTTTTCAATGTGGAGGTGTAGGCACATTTCCTGGCCACCTGTCGAGCCAGACAGAAGAGCTCCATCCGTCTGAGCAGGAGAGCGTTGTCTCTTATGCAGAACTGGGCAGCAGCTTCATTGGTGATCAGCTAAAGAAGGGGGAAAAAAGATCACAGTGAATGAAAAGTCTGAAGAATGCTTTGAAACAGGCATTCATGCAGGATAAATGCTGCCCCTCTTTGTGTGACTTTACCTCATGGTGTGTGAGCTGCTTGCCCTCTCTCCTCTTGGAGTCAAAGCCACCGTAAATCAGGCTGTATTTTCGGATCTCCTCCTCCTTGTTTGGGTCCTGGGAGCCCATTCTGAAGATGTGACCGACGGTTTTCGCTATTTTCTTGTCCATCCGTAGCAGAGTCTTCACCTCTGCAGGGTCTGATCTGGGCAAGGTTCTGTAGAGTCTGTCCACGCTCTCCACCACGGCCCTGGCCGTTTCCTCGTCCAGCTGCCCCCCCGGCCAGGCTGAGAGGGGTGCCAGGGCAAAGGAGGCGGAGGGCACCGGAGACGTGGAGGGACCCGGAGGACCTGCTGACAGCAGAGGGGGTCTTTGCGGCTCCTCCTCTGCTCCAGATGCAGACGCAAGAGCACCATTCCCATCGGGGTCTGGGCTGAGCCAGGTCAGGTCCATCGGGGAGAGTTTTTCCCTGTAGTGCGTCTCTGGCGGCTGTGGAGAGGCCTGGGAGCAGGGACTTCTTGGACTCCCACTGTACATTGGGGTGAGACATGACCGGTCCTCTCTGTCACTGGGGGAACCAGGCTGACTGTTGCTCAAAGCCTTTCTGGGCCCACCTGCAGACCCACTGGAGCCAGTCCCTTCAACTTTGAACAACTGGATCCCCCCAAGAGGGACATTAGCCACAGGCTGGCTGAAAAGGGCAGGGTTCGCCGCCCACTCTCTGAGAGCCTTCTGCAGCCTACGCACATGCAGCGGCTTGGTCACCATGCCAACCAGGGCCATCATTTCTAGGAACTCCTCCTCACCAGCCTCACAGAGCTGCTGCACGTCGTCTCCCCCCTGCTGGATGAAGGTTTCGTAGTAGGCAAGCAGGTTGGCCCTCTGCAGCACCCGATACAGTTGCAACTCCCCAAGGGTGCGTGGCAGAGACATGGCGCACTGCACTGGAAAGGTCAGCCAAGGGACGGGAAGCACATGCACTGCAAAAACCACCTAGAAATAAGTAAAAATGTCTTCAATCAAATGTATTTACCCTTAATTTTAGTAGTCAAAAGGCATGATTTGCCAATTTAATTAGTATTTTTAACTCTTAAAATAAGATAATTAGATACTATGCACTTGTAATAAGACAACGCAATTGATTTTTCTTATTTTGAATGTTAATTGTCATGTTCCATTGGCAAAGTGTCTCACTTACCTCTTCAAGACAAAATGCACTTATTTTAAGAACAAATCATAAAAAATAAAAAAAATCATTTTTTTACAGTGTGAAGCTGCAGATAGAGAAGTCCTGGACATTTACACTGGAAAAACCATCTAGAAATAAGTAAAAATGTCTTAAATTAAGTATATATATCCTTAATTTGAGTAGGTAAATGAGAAAGTTTGCCAATGGAATGATTATTTTTACTCTTAAAATAAGATAATTAGATAATATGCACTTGAAACAGGGGCGGTGCTAGACAGGGGGCCAGGGGTGGCCATGGCCACCCTTAGCCAATCATTGGCCTCCCCTGTGGCCACCCCTACCATTTTTTTCTCTCAAGTAGAATATTCAAAACATTTTCATTTTATATACATTAACAATTACTTGACAACAAAAACACTGTGGTTAATTATGCACATCAATATACCAACATTAGAGATGATTAGTACAGAATTCATGCTCTTTCAGAACTAGATTTTGTGTTATATGCCGTAAAGAGAAAGTTATGTGTCACTGCAAGTCATCTAAGAATCTTCATTGAAATCATAGATACTGTAAATAACAATTTTAATAAAAACCTATTATCAATTTATGTAGATATAAGTACTTGTATATATCAATTTAATGCAGAATGATAATAATAAAAGTAGGTAAGTAATGTGGATGTAAAAGATGTTCGCTCCAGAAGTCAAACCTGAAAGAATTTTATCCACTATACCGTTTATCTAGACGGATGTTATGCATCTATTTGTTAGCAAAGGCTGTAAGAAACTATAGTTTGTCTTTCTTTAGAAATATGGACGTTGTGTGGTTCCTGTTGGAACAGTGTAGATTGACCCTCAGGTTCTGGTGCCTGTCCTATTTTGGCAGACAGGCACCAGAACATTTACATTGGTTATTGTCCGCTTTTGGTGGACAGGCAACAGAACATTTACATTGGTTATTGCCTGGACACCCTTATAAAAATTTCTGGCTATGCCTCTGACTTGAAATAATACAATGCAATTGTGTTTTCTCATTTTAAATATAAATTGTCTTGTTCCATTGGCAAAATGTCTCTTTTACCTCCTCAATCCGAGAAAATATGCACTTACTAAGAAAAATGACTTCATTTTTTCCTATGTAAGACATTTAAATGACTCTGGCAACTGTTTAAAAGAAGCTTTTCTGTTTCCCTCTAGAAGTTTTGGAAGTATTACTCAAAAACATGCAGCTCTGCATTTTCCCCTCTCCTTTGCCAACAGTAAATCTTTGTAGAAAGGATTTTTTTCTTACCTTTCCAGCTCCTTTGTGAGGATCTGTGCTGCGCAAACCGGGGATATAGTCTCTCTAATGTCGCGTCTCTGAAGGTCCCGGAGCAGAATTGACAAAGAAAGCAAAGCAGGCGTGTTTTGAGACAGAATAAGCAGGAGGACACCCTGCTCATCGTCACATCCTCACTTCTCTCTGAAAGCGGCGCAGATCTGCCGTAGTAAATCCCCTGTGCGTATCTCTCCTCGGCTGATATCACTGGCAGAAACCCTCCTCCGGCGCAGCGCATTGGTTTGCTGTCTGTGTGGGCTGGAGAATGACGGGGGTGGACTGCAGCTCGCCATCTGACCGAAAAAGAGCCTTCCTCTCCCGGTAGAGAGGCGGCTTTTAAATTGGAGGTGTGGGTGGAGGTATAGTGGGGGCTTCAAATTAACCCTCATGCGTCTTTAAGACTCTGCTCCTTCATGCAGAGGCTTTGGGGGATTCCCACAGTTTTATCGTGTCAATCTAAACTAAAGGTTTCAGCCTTTAAATGGTCAGGGAGTTTATATAAATATAGTTTAAAGAAACTCCACTGTGTTTATCCTGGATTTATAAAGAGCTTCCAATGGCAGCAAGAGGCGTAGCCAGAACATTTTAAAAAGGGTGGCCACACAATAACCAAGAGGATAGGAACCAGAACCTCAGGGTCAATCTGTTCCAACAGGTAAATAAAGGAGCAAAACATCCTTATTTTCTAAATAAAGACAAACTAACAAATAGACGCATATATTTAAACATCCATGCTGTCTAAAGGTGTATAATGGAAAAATCTTTCAGTTTTTAGTTCTGGGTCAAACATCTTATTCATTGTCATTACTGACATACTTTTATTATTAAATTAATATTTGCATGTACTAATATCTACATTAAATGGATTATTTATTATTAAAGTACCGGTAGTCATTTATCTCTGATTTCAGTGAATATTCCTAGATGACTTTCAGAGACATAGGCCCCGTCCACACGAAGTCAAAACGAAACGCTAATATTTTCCAGAACGTTTGTCGTAAAGACGGAGACATAAAATAAATGTGATCGTCCACACGAATGCATGAAAACGCTGCAAAATGTATGCCAGGCCTGTAAGTGGCGCTGTGGTGCCAAAGCAAAAATAGGCGACGAAATGTTGGGCATGTGCACTAATATTTATACATGGTTGCCCTGCGGGTCCATTTTCGTGGTTCAGTCAAATTCAGGTGCTGAACTATGTCGTCGATATTGCTCTGTTCTTCCTGGAGATATTCCAGAAGAAGATTCTGTTGTAAGCCCGACAGCAGGGTGAGTAGCATTAGCAGCAACCATTCAACACAGTACGGCGCCATTGTTGTTGTGATACTGTGTCGCGCATGCGTGTTTAGAGGCGACGCTATGACGCATGCGTGTAAAAAAAAAAAAATGCGGTTAGAGCTTAAAGATGGAAACGCGAAAACGGCGTTTCAAAATCTTCCCACTCTGAAGGCTTAATAAAAAAAGATCGTTTACAGACCCCCGAAACGCCGGCTTCGTATGGATGAGAGGCTGGTTTGGTGAAAAATTTGTGCGTTTAGGCCAGGGTTTGGCTTCGTGTGGACGGGGCCATAGTTTTCTCTTTACCCCATATAAGACAAAATCTAGTTCTGAAGACAGCATGAATTCTGTATTTATCTTTATTGTTAGTATATTGGTGGTTATAATTAACCACAGTGTTTTTGTTGTCAGGTAATTTAGAAAATTAAAATGTAAAAATAAGTTAGAATGTTCCACTTGACAGTATTACTGCTGCCACCATCTGTATTAGAGGAAAAAAATTGTGGGGGCTGGCCACAGGGGTGGCCAATAATTGGCTAAGGTGGGCCATGGCCCCAAAATTGTTACATTTAGGGAAAATTATAGCCTAAAATCAAACAAAATCAGAAAAGTTTGTCCTGTGCTTGTATTCAGTTATATAAAGTAATATTGCTACATTATTATTGAAAGCAAGGAAACAGACTTTTGAATCAATATTTCGAGAAAAAAACATGCAATGAAACTTAGAAAAAATTATTGTGTAACTTTCTTACTTTCTCTGGTTTTATTTTATTTTTTCAGATTTTTTTTTTTAAACTTGTTTTTCATATTTTTTCTTTTTTTTTTCTTTATATTGTACGATGGAGTAGTATGGCCAGGTTTTTTTCTTCTATATCGAGAATAAAGTCGTGAAATTATGAGAATAATGTCGCAATGACAATAGTCCTAAAATTACTAGAACAAAGTCGTAACATTATGAGAATAAAGTAATAAATTACAAGAATAAAGTCGTAAAATAATTAGAATAAAGTTGTAAAATTATGAGAATAAAGTTTTAAATTTAGTGTTGCACAGATGCCATTTTTTGGCCCTGACACCGATACCCGACTGTGCAGTATTGGCCGATACCGATACCATACCAACACCATCTATTGTAAGGAAACATATTGTTTTCACCTAAGAAATAAAAAATCAGACAGCTTATGTCATAATATACAAGATTTCGTAATTGGGCTTAAAGCAAACAGTTTACTATTGTTTATTATTGTTAATTTAGAAAAACATGTTCTTTGCCTGTAACAACAATGGAACAAAAGTCGCTCATACACTGCATACTTCTTAAACTTAAAATATCACCTTTTACTCCATTGGACAGTTTCTGCACAGCTTCTCTGTGTTGTTCTTTCGATTAAAATCACAATAAAATATATCCTGATTTCTCATAGTTGTGACACAGAAAATGGTAAAGTAGCAAATATTACTTTTAAAAAGCTCTGCCTGTCACCATAAAGCTAAGGTGTATATGCAGAATTATAAATCTCCCCTTGTATGCTGAATTTGGTGAACTCTTCACATGCCCCACTGGGAAATTCCCCGGTCATTTTTATCTGCTGTTTATTTTTTATTTACATTATTTTTATATCTACTAACAGCACGTGTCTTCTCATATAGCATTGGTTCAAATCTAAGGAAAACCAGCTGATTCCATCCAGTTATCGACTTTACAGGATTTGTTGCTCTTGGATTAGCATAGTAGATATTCACTTACATTTTGTAGTTTACTCTTCAGCAATCCCTAACACCAAGCATGCATGCAGACACAGTGGAGAGGAAAAAATCGTTTTTAACAGGAAGAAACCTCCAGCAGAACTGGAACCAGGCCCAGTGTGAGCGGTCCACTGCTGAGACTGACTGGGGTTCAAGGAGATAGAAGCAGACATACAAAAGGAACATAGAAAGAATGACATATTAATACTTTCTGTGTTAGAAATGTAACAGTAAACCAGTTCCACAGATGGCTCTGTCTTGGAAAGAAACATTTAAACAGATGAGCTATGAGCCACTGGTCAACAGGATGAAGAAGAGCACATCTCGTTAGTCACAGTAAAAGCTGAGCCCATAGCTATGTCTAAGAGAAACACAGGATTAAAAACTAGAAAATATTCCCTACTGGGTGGTGTCACTGCTAAGCAGGACCAGATGAAGGATCAGAAAAAGCAGAGAAAACATACATTTAGGGTTGAACAAACAAATACTAAATTCCAGATAGAATGAAGCACAATGATGTAAAGTGGTCCCTATGTCCTCCGGAAGTCTAAGCCTATAATAGCATAACTATAGAGATAACTATAAGCTTGATCAAAAAGGAAAGTTTTAAACCTTGCCTTAAAAATAGACATTGTATGACTCATAGACCAAAACTGGTAGTTGGTTCCACAGGGGAAGAGCCTAATAAGTAAAGGATCTCGCACCTCACATTTTACTTTTAGAAATTCTAGGAACCACAAGTCAACCTGCAGATTGAAAGCAAAGTGCTCTGTTAGGAACATAGGGGAGGATCAGATTGTTTATATAAGAAGGAGCTTGGTTATTGAGGGCTTTATATGTGAGAAGGCGAATTTAAAATGCTATTCGGAATTTAACAGGGAGTCAATGAAGGAAAGCTAAAATGAGAGAAAAATTAAATCTCTTTTTTTATTTTCATCAGAACTCTGGCTACAGAATTTTGGATCAGCTGAAGGCTTTTAACACAATTTACGGTCTTCCTGATAAGAAAGAATTACAATAGTCCAGCCTTAATATAACAAAATATAACCAAAATGGGGGGATTGGCAGCCTAGTGGCATAAAGCTTGGAATCCTGAGGGTCTGAGTTCGAGTCCCACTCCCCGGGTGCCACACAACTGCGGCCCACTGCTCCCTTAAGGGATGGGTTAAATGCAAAGAGTTCATTTCGTTGCTCTGTACTTGTGACAGTGTAATGACAATAAAAGCTGGGGAAAAAAGCATAATTTCTGGGCAAGATCTTTCGAATTTTGCTCTTTTCCAAAGATAAAAGGTGGAAAAATAATTTGATGCATCAAAATTCAGATTAAACAAAAGTTTATCCAAACAGTTGATGATTGTTTGATATGACAAAACAAAATTTAGACCTTGGCTGGCTAGAATTTTAACAGAAATTCTAGCCAGTCAAGATGTCTGAATACAAGCGTCTTGAGCTGTAGCAGTTCTCTCCGCTGAACGCCAGGTGGCAGCAGCGCCCCACGGATAGCTGCCTAACGTCCCCAAGCACCACAGAAGCAACTGGAGGAGGAAAAGAAACAGTTGGCTCTCTGTTAACAAACAAGGTTACACATTCATCTTAAAGGTATGTTAATTGACGCTCAGCTTTCTTTGATGAAAACGGATGCCTTATTCTGCCAGTTGCAATGCTCCATTTCTCTTTTTAAGCTCGTCCTAGCTGACAGGAAGAAGAAAGAGGCGCTAATAATAGCAGGTTTTACTTAGTATCACTGGCTAAGAGTTAGCTTTTGGCGACCTAGAGGCGTCCAGACTTAATACTTTTAACGTTTCATCATTTTTCTTTTCTTTTAGTGAAGTTTCGTTTAGTGAAAACAGTTCAAAACTGGAGACAGAATGAGCTAATGTTAGCCATATATTTCCCACTGCTACCTCATGCTAACACGCTGTCTGCTTGCTAGAATTCGTCATCTCAAGGAAAACATCTGGAGCTTTTAATAGGACTGACAGCCTGGGTTGCTGTCAGAGGACTATATCAGCTCCTGAACGGCTTGTTTTAGACATGATCTATATTTATATATTCATTTTTACTGCCTTAGTCAATTGAGATTATTTATTTTTACCTTTTATTACATGTTTACATGTTAGAATAGAGCAGAAATGTCATTTAATGTTCCTCAGTTAAACCAGATAAATAAAAGCTTGCACCAGGGTTAAAAACAAACAATAAGAGGGTTTCACAGTAAGGCGATTGATTTCTAACTTACTATAGAGTTATTAAAAAAGTTTACA